GCTCTCCTGGAGCTCCTGTATCGAGTCGTATATGCAGCGAATGAATTCTTGTCCTGACTTCTGATGCGGATTCTTTAACGACTGCACATCCACTACAGTAACGGGGGGCACTAAATCGAGTTCAAAATGCTGTCTTTCATCCTCTCAGCAGTTTCCGTATTACATTCCAGCGGTTTAATAGCGCTCTATTCTTCAAGCAGTTGTCGACTAATCAACATGTGTCCTTGCCGGAAGCTGGGTGCTTCTGCTATCGGAAAGTCGGCATGTCGATATCTGCTTGTGAATGTGCTCGATGTGCAAAGGAGCGTGTAGTTGATACCGCTGAGCCCATTTTAGACGCAAAGCAAACAATCACAATCATTATCGGCCTAAAAAGATTTACCTTGCTGCCGAAAGGAATCCAGAAGCGACCATGTTGACAGGAACCTGACATGGACGGAGTCTCGTGAAGACGGTGCAGGGTTGTTCACCACTTGGCCGCACCTTGTTACCCCAGGCGTCAGAAACGGCTCGATACATTCGGTCATCTGCTCCTGCGGCATCCTCAAGGGGAACCTAAAAGTGATGTAAGGCTTTTCTACGCCTCACAGCGGCTTCTGAGCATATTGAGCGCCGAAATCAACTCCTTTTCATACCTTTAAAGAGACCCGTCCCCTGCTGCATTTCAAATACACTGGAAAGAGGGCAATGCGAACCAGTCGAGCTGGTTAAATACATAAAGGCAGACGGTATTTGGAGTTTTGCAGATTGACACGCGATGCCACAATCCGTGATTTGCGTGCCCAAAGGCGTGATGAGATCCACACCAGAAGGCATCTATAGGGCGCGTTTCACAAGCCTTGCAACACAGCAAAGACTAGAAAAAGAAGGCACATACCACAAGGAGAGGTTGGATATCTTATACATGCGTCAACACAATCGTCGACAAAAGAAAGATTTCGATGAAGCGGCCCGCGAGGCAGAGAATCAGCTTCAACTTTTTAGTTTGATCTTTGCGCGGCAAGACAACGAACTGCAGAACCAACAAGCGACTAGGGACGATACACCGGCCAAAGAACGGGAAAGAGTGAGAATAGAAGCAACAGAGATCCTGCGGACTATTTTATGAGCTGCCTTGCTTGTGGCCTGGCACGCTGCAGCTCTCTATTTCCAATTTAACCAAGTTTCCGCGCCTGGCCCGAGCAGCGTGCCCAATGTAGTTGCGGAAATATCCATCGTCCACAGTGTACTTTCACTAGGCTGCGGAAAGAGAGTTCTTCGCTGCCTCAACAGCAATGTAGCTGCACTATTGCGGATATAAGCCTCTTCTAAACTTTGCACGAAGAGGCGCTCCAATCCGCACCGTGGGGGGAACACAGGTAACTTCCAGGCAGGATACAGTCTTCCATGGCATCGCTTCTAATACACCTTCGCGGCTTAACATAAGAATATATTGCAGTAGAAGCACGCCATTTTGCTTCATGCCACGACTCTCGGGGCCGGCTTAGGCCGATGTGTTTCCAGGTAATATACGAGTTGTATCTCCGCGTGGTTTTTCCCCTCCAGTAGGGTCTTAATACATTGGTGAAGTGGATGACTCCACCGCTGTTTATTCGTCTCGACCAAGCAGCCGGGCTACGCGCGCAACATCGGACTGGCGCCCGTGTGCAGTCTACAACATCGCAGAGGTAACAAGAGAATCCGGCTAATACTCCACGGACAGAAAGCAAAACGCATCTTGAGGTAAACTAACAGGAACAACCTTCATGCCGCGAGCGATGAGATATTTTTTTTTGCCAGTGCGATAGGAAAGGCGTGCAGCGTCACGGTAGCGTGCCACTCTCCAGATCATCTTAAGCAAATTCCTTCGCTCACTGGGGCCCATAAGGGCATATTGCGAGAAAGCTGACGAATAGCTTCAACAAGGTCGCAGAGGCGTTGTTCGGTTTGGTGCCTAAGCCAAGAATCGAGCATTTTGATCACCGCTTTAGCTCGCTGACGAAACTCAGGAAATTTACTACCCAGTAATGTCGAGGCTCCTTCTAGTGGTTTCTTAAGCGTCTATTTAGGTTTCTTCCGCTTATGCGGTACATAGCGCATCCTTTCGCGGATACGCAGTGAGCACATAGTCACAATGTTCATGAAGGCTGCTTTCTCAACGCCACGAGCTATCTTGCAGTTAGATGTCAGCTATCAGTGGCGTGGGGGCCGATGCCTACTCACTCTACAAAACTCTGGATAGCGAATGGAACTTGATGTCGTTCAAGGTGGAGAAGCCATCGCCATGGCGGGCTTAAATGACGGCGATGATCACCTCTGATACATCTGTCCCCGGCGTTTGATTCATACACAGCGCTGGCACATGATTTGGATACTAGCCGATATCACAAAACGCAAGCGTATTTACTAAATCGCGTTCTCCTTAGAAAGGCAGAGCGTACGCTGCAGGGTTGGCATGTGCTTGCTGTTGCCAAGGATTGATTGACGGTTCGGTCGGAGCTGTGTTAAAGATATATGAAAGCGATGGCTTCAGTGCAAGCAATATCCCAGGTTACTAGAGCGGCTTGTGTCATGACAGCTCCTAGATCTGGAGAGTCTGCAAAGCTTGGGCACGCAAGAATGTGGGAGCTTAAAACAAATTGCAGAAGCCGGCTGTGCGAGGTATGCCACACCGCGGAGGCTACTTTTAAAAATACGTGCAATCACACCCGTCTGGGACTCCATGCTTCACCGAAAAAGGGTTCCTGCAAGCACAATGCAAGAAGCTGCATGAGGTGCGGGGTACACTTATCCAAACGTTTCCACTGTAATAGTGACACGTCTTTCTTCTCCGCTCCACAGATAATGTCCCGCAAACTTGATCCGACATGATCATGTCATAGCGTTTTGGCTAGCAGATTATGTCCAGTCGTCAGCAAGTTCAAACCGCGTGCCAGCGCTGCCGCCAGAAACGAGCAAAGGTGCGTCTTCTCATCCCGCCTAGCTTACGCGCAAACAGCCGCCCCACTTGTCCTACCATTGCTATTGAGGCCATCTCATAAGCTGTATGTATGACGCTGACACTTGATTACCTGCACAGTGCAGCGGACAACAGCCCTGCAACCGATGCGAGCAAGAGGGCGAGGTCTGCGAATACAACCGCTGCGAAAAATTAACAAAGAGCGAACTGCGTGCTGAGGTTGGAAGACTGAGGCAGCGTCTGGAAGATACCAAGTCGCAGCGGGCTCAGAGCCAGGGCAGCAGCGCCACGACGAACGATAGCGCCACGCTGCAGGGCTGGATCGATGGCTTCAAATGGTCTAATTTGGAGAAGGGTCCTTTTGTGCTGGCGGCAGGGTATCGAGCCTCATTTTCGTCTGATTCGACGCCACCAGGGACCCCGCTGACAGCTTCCAAGCCAAACCAACACGTCCGCTGGCTCTTCGTCCTGCTTTGACTAGCTGCTCTCCTGGCGATCTTGCCATCCTTCTTTCCAGCAGCGCAACTCGTCGAGATTGTCTCCATCGCCATCCTCATCTCATGAGCTGTCACTCCCTTTAGCACCGCTGGATGCATATGGGACGCTGGCGCAGACAGACGGGTGGACGCAGGTAGGGTGGACTTGCGCACACATTCGGCACTTGTTCAACGCCCTTTACACTTGGGACTGTGTCTCTTTTTGTATTCTGCGCAAAAACGAGTTTCTGCAAGACTATGATGCCGCTTCCTCCCGGTTTTGCTCCTCAGCTTTGGTACACGCATTGTTGGCGCGCTCTATGCGGCTTGTCAACGAGACAGAGGATATTTCCTACATCTTGCCCTCTGGCTGGCTCGGAAGCAAGTATTTCCTGCGCAAAGCCAAATCTCTGCTGGCGCCACCAGCTACCGTCTCGGACAAGATGGCCACTAATAAGAAAGAAGTCCCAAAGGGGTCTTCTTTCTTACTGTGTCCAATTAGTTAGCGCCTGGCCTGTTGCCTCAACTCGACGCGGCATCGCGGGTGTGGTTTGTGAGTTATATTTTTCTTCGGTGCGCGGTGTCGCATCGGAGTGAGACCGGGACGAGAAAATTTATACGGTCTGCTTCATCTCATCCGAGCACTCCCGTAGCTGCTCAGGCCTCTTTTGCTCAAGAGGGCGCCAGCCAAGCAAAAGTCCCAAAACACGTAGGGAGCCAAAAATAATACGTAGAGAGTCTATAACCAAAGGCCTATAAGACTTCTACCAGGGGTGGCCCTAATCCGGTAGACTCCCTACGTATTGTTTTTCGCTCCCTCCGTAATTTGGGACTCGCCAAGCAAGGAGGGTGCAATGGGCGCCAAGCCATGCAGGTCATGTCCTTCATTGTCTTCTGCTGCAAAGACATGCATTAGCTAGCCCTTTGCAAGCTGCGATCAGCACTGCACTATCGCTACATGACAATCTTGTTCTTTCCGTTCTTCCCTGTGTGTATGTTCCTTTTTCGAAGTGCTTGAACCCCTGATATTCGGGCGGTCGCTGGTTTAGAACTGCGTGAAAAATGACTGTTACGAACGTGGTATGAAAACAAAAGCACTTGGCACCCTGCGTGGGCCTCTTTTCAACTTCTGTCTCGGTACTCGCCAAACTGTCAGAGGACTCCTCCGCAGCCATCACGCGACTTGTACCGACGTGGCACTGCCCTGCCATGGTAGCATGGTGGTCTTGGCCCACCAAAAAAGGGATGCGCTAGCTCCCGTCATTCCATGTTCTGACAGGTTGTTTATTGCCGTATGACGTGCTGCTAGGGCCGGAGACCAGTTCCACTCGCATTATTAGTTCACGACGGTTGCTTGGCCGCTACAGCTACTATAAGTCCCCATCGTCCCCCTTGACCTTTGGTCTTGTTTTCAATGACAGGATCCGCTTGATTATTCGCTAGCCAAATGAAGTCAGCCAAATTGTATTCATGGCTTCTCTATGGACTGAGCAGCCCTCTAGTTCACGGACTCAACCCGCGTCCTCGCTCTCACGTTTAGGCGATCAAGGAACATTTTGGAGAGAATCCAAATGCTAACCAGCTCTTTGCCGCACCGCCGACTAATGGCCGACTTATTGATCGTTCAGGCTGGCAGGTCTCCTGCGACAGCGAGGAGTCTGGCAATGACTGTTGGAAAGCAATTGATGGAGACAACAACACACTCTGGCACACGCAATATTCTGGCTCGGCGCCTGGTCCACCCCACACCATCACGCTGGATATGGGCTCTACGCACAACATCAATGGCATTTCAGTCCAACCGCGACAAGACAACAATCAGAACGGTTGGATCGCCCGGCACGAGGTTTCCGTCAGCCAGGATGGCAACGACTGGGAGGTTGTCGCTATGGGCAACTGGCCTGCTGATGCGCTGATCAAGTATGCTAATTTTGAGACACGAAAAGTCCGCTATGCTCGCATCAAGGCCGTGCCGGAGATTGGAGGCAATGCGTGGACGAGCATTGCAGATCTTCAGGTCTACGACGCCGGCGCAGAGCCGACCCAGTACGCCGGCCTCGGAAGATGGGGACCGACCATCAACTTCCCAACCGTTCCCGTGGCCGGTATGGTTGACCCTCTCACAGGAAAAATCACGATCTGGTCTGCATATGCCTATAATAACTACGTCGGTTCAAGTTGGGACCGAGTGTTCACCTCCATCTGGGACCCAGCTACCAACGATGTTGAGCCCAAAATTGTTGACGACACTGACCACGATATGTTCTGTCCGGGCATCTCCATCGACGGAAAGGGACAAGTCATCGTCACTGGCGGCAACTCCAAGTACAAGACTACCTTCTACGACTTTCCGTCCCAAAATTGGACTGCTGGTCCTGAAATGAAGGTGCCTCGCGGCTACCAAGCCTCGGCAACTTGCTCTGACGGTCGCGTCTTCACCATCGGCGGTTCTTGGAGTGGCGGCGACATTGAGCCAAAGGACGGCGAAATCTACGATCCTCAGTCAAAGTCATGGACGATGCTTTCCGGCGCCAAAGTCGCAAATCTGTTGACACAGGACGCCCAGGGAATTCATCGCTCCGATAATCACGCCTGGCTGTTTGGTTGGAAGGATGGCTCGGTTTTCCAGGCTGGCCCAAGCACTGCGATGAACTGGTACTACACCAACGGCAATGGCGACGTGAGGTCGGCTGGCAAACGCACCACCTACCGTGGTGACGACCTCGACTCCATGGGTGGTATTGCGGTCATGTATGATGCCACGCAGGGCAAGATTCTCGCCGCCGGCGGTGCGCCATCCTACCAACACAGTGCTGCTCACAACGGCGCGCACATTATCACTGTCGGGAATGTGGGCGATCAGCCCAATGTGAGGTTTGCGAGCAACGGCATGTGGTCTGCGCGCTCCTTTGCCACAGCCACACTTCTACCCAATGGCCAGACCTTCATCACTGGCGGCCAGAGCTACGCGATCCCATTTGAGGACAGCGCCGCGCAACTGACGCCGGAGCTATATGACCCAGATCAAGACAGCTTTCGGCAACAGGCACCAAACACGATCCCCCGAACTTATCACAGCATCTCTCTCTTGATGCCCGATGCCCGCGTCTTCAATGCGGGTGGCGGTCTATGTGGCGACTGCAACACCAATCATTTTGACGGCCAGATATTTACTCCCAACTATCTACTCAACAGCGACGGCTCTCCTGCTGATCGACCTGCGATCACGTCGGCGAGTGTGAACTCTGGCCGCATTGTTATTGGCACCGATGACGCCGTGTCCTCTGCCTCTCTCATCCGTGTGGGCACGTCTACGCATACTATCAAAACCGACCAGCGTCGCATTCCCCTGAAGCTCAGCCGTCAGTCATCCAGAACATACAGTGCCTATTTGCCTACGGACCCTGGCATCCTTTTGCCAGGCTACTGGATGCTGTTTGTGATGAACAGCAACGGCGTTCCGAGTGTCGCCAAGATAATCAACCTTTCTCTGTAAGGAATTTCATCTGGAAGCCTTACTTTCGACACTTTGTGAGATCATCACTACGGGCCGAGATCAGAAAAAGAGCGTTCAGCGCTGAACATTGAGTCGCAGGCTGGGTAATCGTCATCTCAGACCTGCATTCGTTCTTGAAGTGCATTCATGCATTCATGTACATATTTCACGACGATGCGCTAGTTTAAAGGCCTGATTGCACGCAAAGAAGCTAGTCTTTGTAGACCAGCGCTTCAAGGGCTATGAAGCATTGGAACATTTTACCACTCAAAGTCACATCGGTATATAGTAAAGCAGAAACCGAGCAGTACAGTCTAGGATCTAAAACCCTTATATTTGGAACCTTAAGTGCAAACTGATTGGTCTTGTGAATCACCCCTCATGTTACTTCGATCGCCCCGGCCCATCGCAACTCTTGAGGAAGGAGATACTCGTCCTTGGCAATACGAAAGTCGCTCTGTTGGACGGCCGTGTGGAAGGCCTTGGTGTTGGAAGAACAGCCACATCCGTCTGTACAAACGAGATAGACAGCTCAGAAGCCCGGTTCCAGGAGGAATCGCGGTATCGGCTTGAGGAGCATGCGCCCCGCTGTCCAGACCAGATGCATGCCCATCTGGTCCGTGACGAAGACCTCGCGACCTAGCAAGAGCTGGTGGTGCAGGGCACGTGGCGGCAACGGCAGACCCGTGATCCAGAGCCAGTCCTGAATGTTGGCGGGCCGTCGGAAGTCGAGCTCCCTCTCAACACAGCAGTGACATGCAGACCCGCAGTGCCCAGGTCACCAGACTCTTTGCGGCAGGACGCGGGCAGAAGCGCCAGGAGCTGGTCGCGATCTTGTCGGGACGCGTTGTTGTGCTCGTTTTCGTACGCGAGGAGACGGACGGAGAATGGAGGTGCCTGTTACAAGATGCTTGAGATCAAAATGCCGTGGTGACATGGAGTGCGTTAGACGCTACCGAGTTCGTCGGGTTTCCTGTTCCACCTTGGTCTGCCATCAGGAGGACTGTCCGACCGCCATTGGAGTTTCGCCAGGCGACAGAAGAGACCCATTGAGAGGAGAGGAGCAACCGTCGCGATGAGGTACATAGGCTCATCGGGAATGGTCAGCACAACGAATGCAACACCAGAGCGCGCTGCGCAACACTTGATTGGGTGCTATAGAAGCTGAACCTGCACTTTGCTGCGGGGAGACACCCAGGCAGTAAGCGCTGTGGCGTAAGGCCACCAAGCGTCCTCTCAAACTACGTATCCCTAAGGTCAGGCCAACCATCACCCCTGGCCGCTGCGTCCTTTGGCCATGTTCTTCCACCTTCTCCCAACAGCGAATACTTCCTTACGTCTACGTACACGCCATTTATCGTATTCTATATTCAAGACAAGTGTTGCTGTTTTGAAATCGAAAGCTTCGTGGTTGACCCGTCGCCACTCTAGCATTACAAGCTCCTGTCACCCGTGCACGGCCCGCAACTAACCTTCTGCCCCGCAAACACCCCTGGCCGCGATGGACTGGGCGCAACGGTGGTTACTCACCTTCTTAGCGAGCGTGGTTGCCACGGTGTACTGGTTGTTGGCAGCGAGAGCTAGATCTGCAGCGAAATCGCGACGACAGTCCCAGGTAGCGCAGGACCATCGCCCTGATCATTCGGTGCCAGAGAGGACAAAGGTATGTCATCTGGGCAATGAAGGAGCAGCATAGTAATACCGATAGGAACAGACTCGGAAGCGTCTTACGATAGTATACCCTGAGCAGACGCGCGTCGCAGCCGATGATGCTGAGGTAGAGTAAGTCTTCTGAGTAATTTTGAGGAAACATCAATCTGATCACAGCAGCATCGTTGCCGTACATGGCCTTGGTTCAGACGCGGACTGGTCTTGGATATGCAAGGACGGCAAAAAGCATACCAACTGGCTTCGGGACCCTGACATGCTGCCGGCGCAGGTGCCCAAGGCAAGGATTATAGTGTATCGTTACGAGTCGACCTGGCACGTAGACGCACCGAAGACGCGCCTCCAGCTCTGCGGAGAGGAGCTCGTCCACAGCCTACACGCATTCCGCGCCGGTCGCCCGAGCCGGCCGCTTGTCTTCGTCGGCCATAGTCTAGGTGGAAATGTTATCGTGCAGGTTCGCTGATGCCCTCGCCATTCTGTATGCGCTTTTGCTAATCTCCGACTTCGAGGCCTTTCTGTATGCCAACGACGACAGCAAATACGAGTCACTAGTAAAGACGACCGTTGGTCTTGTGTTCCTGGGCACGCCTTTTCGAGGCTCGAAGTGGCAACCCCTCGTTGATGCTCTCGCGCAGCTGATGGGACCGGCAGGCTCCCACCGCGGCATTACGAGGGAGCTAGGGTTCGACGAGTCGGCGCTCCGAGACAGAGTACATCGGTTTTGCAAGCTGCGCAACAAGCTGTCGACGGCCGTCGCGTGTTTCAGCGAGCTCCACGAAACGGACTATGGGCGGCGGCTGGGGATTGCCGGGGTGGCCAAAGGAATGGTACGTGAACGCTTGAAAGACGCTGGTGTCTGGAGCCGTACTCACCTCCCTAGGTCGTCGACGAGACATCGGCTTGCATCCCAGGCCTCGACAGGTATGCACTCGACAAAGATCACCTGAAGATCAATAAGTATTACGGCCCAACCGACCCTGCTTTCGCAAGGGTGTCCGATGTGATCTCCGAGATGTGCCGCCGAGCGAACGACGTCGTTCGACGCCGGTTCGAGAGTGCGTATTCTTGTCACCAGCCTAGGCGTATGCTAACCGAGTCGGACAGGAAGGGAAATCATTACTGACAATCATGGTAAGCTCAACCGTCGCCCGACCGGTACAAGAATCCCCCAAGCCCTGCTAACAGTCCGGCAAAGCCGCACTGAAGTACAACCCAAAAGCTGAAGCATGTCTTCATGATCTATTTGTCACCGACCCGCTCGAGGACAAGAAGGCTCTGAAACGCAAGAAAGGTGACCGCGCTGCTGGCACCTGCGAGTGGATACTTGGCACGGACGATCTGACTGCTTGGCTTGGGCCGAGTCACAATCAGAACTCTGAGATTCACACAACCCAGGTTCTGTGGCTGCACGGCAACCCGGGAACGGGTAAGTCTACGCTGGCGATATTTCTCACCGACGTGCTGTCCACTGGGTTCTCCGCCACGGACGGAAACACACTGGCATATTTTTTCTGTGACTCCGCTTTCGATACGCGGAGGACGGCCACGTCTGTCGTCAGAGGCCTTCTCCTACAACTCATCCAGCAGCACCCGTCGCTTCTCAGCTACGTCTTGCCAAAGTACAATGAGCGAAAGGCAAAGCTATTCGAATCCTTCGACGCTCTCTGGACGATCTTTATATCAGCGGCGACGGACCGCAACACCGGCCGAAAATACTGCATCATTGATGCATTAGACGAGTGCGATGATGAGTCGCAAAGGACGCTGCTCCGACAGTTGCAGGAGACCTTTCTTAGTTCCGATGCCCCGCCAAATGTCCGAATTCTGGTCACCAGTCGGCCGTATCGAGAGATCCGCAAACACTTGGAAATTTTCACACATAAGGACCTGGCTTCCTTTCCCGACGTCAAGCAGGATATTGATCAATGTATCAAGGAAAGGGTGGCACAGCTTAAGTACACGGAAAAGATGAGTGGACGAGTTACTGAAATTCTTAGAGACAAAGCTGGAGGGACATTTCTGTGGGTCGGCATAGCCTGCAACGAGCTTGAAAATACACCCTCGAAAGACGCGATCTCATGCTTGGAGGCAATGCCTAGTGGCCTTCATGCTCTCTATGAGACTCTTTTTAGCGCAGCCCTTGAAAAGGAGAGGGAGAAAGGCACGATTCGACTCGTCCTCGGTTTCGTTGCTGTTTCTCGGCGGCCTTTAAACCTGTTAGAGCTCGCTGAGGCCTGTCGATTACGTCGAGACGAAGATGACACAGAGACACGAACCCAGTTCATGCGTGAGTACATCGAGTCCTGTCGTCTGATGGTCGTCATTCAGGATGAAACGGTCCTCTTACTACATCAATCTGTGAAAGACTATTTAATCAAGGCTGGTGAAAAGGCTCATTTTAGTGAGTTCCAAGCACATGCCGACCTTGCCTATCGCTGTATCGATCACCTCATCGAGCAGTTTCAAGATACGAAGCAGACACATGCGCACTTCTCGGACTATGCTACTTGCGAGTGGCCCAATCACGCGCACATGGCGCAGTCTAGATTCGTCGTCATGCCTCCGCAGGCGGAGTTTTTCAACGTTGCTTCTCCGTGTCGAGAGTCCTGGCTGGCAGCTTATCATTGTCTTGATGCGTCTATTCATGACAAACCTCCACGTCGATTCTCCATTTTGCATGTAGCTGCACGCTGGGGCATTCCTGCTATAGCGGAGCATGTCTCTCACTCATATGATCAACAGGATAAAGCAGGGGAGTTGATCTATCTTACCGATGTCTCACATGCAACACCACTTGAGTGTGCAGCTAGAATGGGATACCCGGCTGTTGTGCGTATCTTATTGGGCCTTGGATCGGTGATCACCGTAAAAGTGACACTTCTTGCGGCTAGAAATAGGAAGAATGGCATGGAAGTGATGGCGCTCCTTCTCGAACAGCGAGGAGACGGGATTGCAATCACAGAGGAGGTGGTGGAGGCTGCGGCGGG